ATATATATATATATATATATATATATATATATATATATATATGCCCGCATACCAGACAATTCCACGCTGATGAAGTATGCGTTTTTCTAAACATGCGTTAGTCAGGAACCATTATATATATATATATATATATGTTGTTTTCCTTCTTTGGCAGCAAGCCAAAACCAAGATGAAAACAATGGAGGCAACTTCTTCGCCGTTACACCCATTCTACTGGCCCCTTCATCTTCTTATTTCTCCGCCTTCAATTAACTCACTCGCAAGACCGTCTCCCTCGCACCCATGTCGTTCTCCCGCAAAAATTCCCTCCACTTGGCGTCATAGCCGTGCAGTAAACTGTTGACAGACTGCAGCAGCGCAGTACGCAGAAGCTCTGCATTATTCGCCGCGAACTCACCACCAGTCACACAACCGCCGCCGCAAGCATCCTGGCCGGTTCTGCCCCGCCCCGTTCCACTCTCTAAAGTCGTGCGAATGGGCTGAACGACGAGGACGGGGCTTGGCGCGTAGCTCTGCGTCGTGTCGAAAGCAACGGCATCGTCGGCAGTGGTCGTACAATGCGTTGCTGCTTCTTTAGCATCCCCGCGCATAAAAAATCCGCGGATCGCATTCTGCATCGTGCGGGCGCGGCCGTTACTGTGGTCGTGTGGCTGACGTACGTTGGGGTTACGCGTGGGGGACGCCGTCTGCAGCTTCGGTTTCACGGCGCTCAGCGAGCGGCGTATGGTGCGTTGGTAGGCGCTGCGCCCCGCCTCCACTTCCTTACTCGCCTCAATCCGCTCCGCTGCTGCCGCCGTCGTCCGCTGTGCGGATTGTCGCCATGTCGTCCAAAACAACTCCTCTACGCTTTGCTGCAGCCGCAACTCCTCCTCAGTGGAGGAGGCGTACAGTATGATGAGCACGCCGGCCAGAAACATCGTCTGGTGCTCAACGGCCTGCCGTATTAACAACTGCAGTGTGTAAAGCCCCGCCTCGTACTCCACCCCTCGCGAGGTGTCGAGCGTGATGACGGCAGTGATGTGTTCCTCTGGCCATGGTGTGGAGGCCGACCTCGCCTTCTCTCCCGCCACACATCGAAGCTGCGGCGCGTCACGGTAGTCAATACCGTAGAGGGCAAGCCGCGTCTGCAACGTGGTTAAATGACGACGGGGACGACTCCAAGCGGCTGCCTCTGCCAAGGTACCTGTTGTCCGAGACGAGGACTGTCGACTCCACTCCGCCGCTGGTGTCAGCCGCGGCGCTGTGGACATCCGTACCGCATGGAGTTGCTCCCACAGACTAAGCAACTCTCCCCCGTTCCTCGTGTCTGCGCTCACCGCATCGTCGGAGTCGTCGTCCTCCGCCGCGGCCCCACCTTTGTGCCCCACACTGTACAGCGCACCCCGTGTGAGCAACGAGACCGCTTCCTCACGGGGGAGCAGCATTGCCGCGACCCAACGCCCAAGCGAGAGCGGCCGTATGGTTGACAGCGCGCAGAGCGCCTCCTCTGCGGCGACGCTGCTCGTGCACGCCGACGCACATGTGCTCTCTAGCAGTGATGCACGAGGAACGGTGCGCCGCCCAGAGAACCAACTTGTTTCATCTGTGCCTTCGTCACGCATGGCACCCCCAAAGACAACTACAGTTGAGGTAAGTTGCAACATCGGCACATCCGGCTTCCCAACTACGTCCAGCTGCGGTGGCGCCGCGCGGAGCGCCACCATAGAAGGGGTAAAGCCGCGGCAGAGCCACCCTGCAACTCCACGAGCCTGCGCCTCGGGATCGCCACAGATAACTTCGGAGAGAAACCGACAGGCCGTTGCGTCGTCGTAGGAGGCTGCAAAAAAGCCAAGGAGATAATTCATAAAAGCGTGCATCCAACGTGGCTCACTCGCGCCGCCTGCGACAGCTGGGGCACCCAGCTGGGATGAGAAACGTAACGACGCTTCCTCTGTTTGCTGTCGTTGTTGTTGCACCAGTCGTGAGAGTGGACTGGCGGAGACGCGTCCCACAAACTCACGCGATGTGCCACGCTGCCGTTGCAGCGATGTCCGTATGGTGTCCCGGTACGACAGCCTTCGAGGTTTGACACCTGTCAACTTTGAGGTCGGCTGCCCGGGCACCTTCGCGGGGCCGGGGGATGCCGCCACAAATGTTACCTTCCGCACGCCTTGCAGTTCATGCAACGTCTCCTGCGCCACACCTTCCACGCAGGCTCGCTGGCGTGGTGGCTGCGTCACTGCGTCACTCTCAGCCCCACGCAGCTGCCGCCGTTCCTCCTCCTTCTCAAACGGCAGAAGCACCTCACGACTTTCCACAGAGGAAACGTAAACACTGCTTGCACCGTCCAAATGGCATGAGCGTAGTTGCTGGCCGCGTTTGACTTCCACCTCCACCTCCGCTTCTTCTCTTGGAGGCCGCACAGAAAAAAATCCGGGTGGCTTAGATGACGGCAGAATGCCATGACAAGGAACAGCCTCCTCCCGTGGCCGCTTTGCCCTTGACTCCTCCTTGCGACCTCCGTGCGGCTCCAGCGGCGCACGCACGTCACCTTCAGTCATGTCGGAAACGCGTGCAGGGAAGAACGGAAATGGCGGCTGCGGTGCCGTCGGCTCCGTTTCTTCTACTGGGGCCACCCCACTCCAGTCGACGCCCTCTTGAAGCAGTGGCACCTCCGTCCCTGCCGCGCTGCAGCTGGTTGGCGTCTCCACCGTGGGGTGCAGACTGGGCGACATCTTCCCGGGATGCTCGCTTGGCAACGGCGAAACACAAACCTTGAACGGTGGTGGAGGCAGGCTCAACCACGGCTCCGCTGTTGGCGGCGTGTGTGGCATCGGCTCTGCGTTCAGCATTGTCCCCACCGTTGCCTCTGTGTTGGTGTCACCACTATTATTCTTATTATCCTCATTGACATCATAGGCGGTGTTCTGCGGGTGGCTGTCACAGCTTTCAGAAAGAGGCGCCGCTGCATCTGCCCTTCTGGCGTCCTCCCGCGTCTTTGCCTGCAGTTCCTTCTGTATCTTGGCGTACATGGCGTCGTTGCGCAGCGACAGCAGCAGTACCTTGGCGGCACGCACCGCCTCGTCCTCCTCTTCCTCTTCCTCTGCTCGTTCCCTTGCCTCACGTTTGGCAGATTCAGCTGCGCCTGGCACTTCTCCCTGCTCGCCCTCCACCACGTCCGCGTTGTTGTTGCTGCTGCTGCGGCTGCCATCGTTGGCGTCATGGTCACCGCCAAGGGAACCGTTGAAAACAGAGCTGTGCGTGGATTGGCTTTCCTGATCCATCGCCTCCACAGCAGACTTTAGTAGCTCCTGTGAGAGTCCCCGACTCCGCCCGCCACGCGCGACAACATCACCACCAGTAAACTCCGCCACTTCCTCGTCCTCGTCGTTGTTGGTGTACCGCGGACCGCGTGAGGACATATGCAGGGCATACCAGGCCAACATCCGCTCTCGCGCCGCCTGGACGCCGGTAAACCACTCATTTCCCGCGTCCGTCAGCTCCACCGCGGCGACGTCGTTGTTGTATGTGGGGCAGTAAGGCTCTAGCAGACGCATGAGATTCACCGGGCACGTCATGATGCAAAGATCCCCGTGCGTCGCCAGTGGGGCATCGCCGAAGGCGTCAGGAAACAAGTCAAACGCCTCTCGCCAAACGGTAAACCCAAAGAACGAGGGAAGCGTTGGCAGGCACAAGCGCGGCTTTCCTCCAGTGTCCTCCAAGTGGCGGTAAATCGCCTCTTGTGTGGTGTACGGCGAGGAGTCAGCCCGCGCGACGCGCAGAATGCTGCGGTCCTCGCTTATCTGCCCGCCGAGTCCCATCGTTTCGAGCAACTCCACGCAGTGAGCCTCTTCCATCAAAAGAAGATCGGCGAGTTCCGCAATCGCCATCTCACCGCGAAGACGCGCCTTCCCATACACGACGGTGTTTGCCGTCACAAGGTCCACCACAGCCCTAAAGCGGGCGTACGAAAAGGAGTGAAACACCATTGCCCGCTGCAGCACGGTAAGGGGCTCGGAGCGGCAAAGGTGAAAGAACCCGAACCACTCACGCTGGCACCAGCTGTGGATGAGCCGCAACACTGCACGCACATGCCGCGTGCGGGCCATTTGCGGCAGGTACGCCAACTCGCGGTAGACGCTGCCGAAGTCGACGCTGCGGGAGGGCGGCTCAAAGAGGTGTGTGGGGGCTGCGTCGTCACCCACCTGCACCTCAATCACCTGACAAAACCCCGCACGGTTCTCCACCTTTGTGAGCTGCGCGAGACCGTAGAAGAGAAGAACGGCGGAGAACATTTCTGAGTTTCGCAGCCGTTGCTCCGCGCGGTAGGACAAGACCAAATCGCTGAAGCACTGCGCGATGGACTCAAGGAAGTTCTGCTTCTCCGCCATGTAGCGGCGGCAGCCCTGCACGCTGCGGCACAAATTTGCCCCACCCACCGCAAGTGCCGCGACGGTGAACTCCAGCCACTTTAGCCGCCGGATGGACTCCCGCACGGAGCCCGGCAGCACGCCATCGGCGTAGTCGTGGCTGCTAAGCGATTGCGTCCCCACCGGCGGGAGCTGCGGCACCCAATTCGTTCGCACCTGCCGCATGCGATCCCACAAGTACCTCCACACCTCAAAAGGTGCGAGAAACACCGCGGGCGTGTGCGGGTCGCGCAGGTAGTGGTGGACAAGAAAGTGCATCGTCTTCTCCAGCGCAAGAGGGTTGCGGAGGTGGCTCGGTTCCACCACAACCCCCGCTGCCGACCGACCGTACGCCTCAACCGCCGTTGGAAGCTGCGGGTGACGACTTTTATAGTGCAGCTCAAAGGATGGTGGGGCGGGGCGCTGCGACGTCTCGCTGCTTCCGCATAGCGCCGCGAGACAACCACGCCGCGGCGGCTCATCGACTCGAAACTCACAGAAAGCTGCAAAGGGCATGGCAGAGAGAGCTTCCCGCACGCCAAGCTCATCCTGCAGCATCAACCTTCGGCTGCGCTCCGGCCTCTGCTGTCCCTTCTTCTTCCTGTTGCTGTTTTCTTTTTCTTTTTTCACTTCTCCCTCATTGCACGGCACCCAGGCAGACACGTGTGGCACAAGCAGGGGCGAAAAAAGAGAGCAAAAGGGACGAAAAAGGACAAATACAAGAGACAATGTTTAAGCATCCGTGGCGCACCAAAGGCGGGCAGGAGAAGGCAGTTGCTCCAAAGCCAACAACGAAAGCGGCAGCATGAGCAGCAGAGGAGTAAAATAAAACTGGTAACACACACACAACACAAGCAACAGTGAGCACCCCCTTCCCTCCCCGCTACCGGCAGATACAAAGTACTCCTTTCGCCCCTCCAATCCCCCCACACACACCCTTTTTTTTTTTGCCTTTTGCTTCTTCTTCGTTGTTGTTGCTGCTGCTGTGCGTATGTGGGCGCACCGGCGACAAGGAGGCTGACGACAAAAAATCAGGAGTGTGGGGCGGGCGCATCTAAAGAAGCTCCGCCGCGGTCAGCTTTAAGTGCCGCAGAGACGTGAGTTTTCACCTCCGCCTCCCTCCACCGCCTTGACTCCCACAAGCCCATCCACAGACGCAAAAGAAAAAAAAAAGTACAGTAAGGAGCAAGAGAGAAATAAAATGTGTGCGCCTGTCCGTGGCCCTCTTCCACATGACTAAAGCGTGCCGTCACCATATACGCACTCCACGCACTCCATCAAAAGCTCCACGAGAGGCCGCTCCGTGCCGCCCTCCGGCTCGTCTTCGTCAAAGTCGTCGTGGCCATCGCCACTGCCATCACTGGAAGCGGCAAATCCGACGTTCAAACCTTTCTTGTTACTTGCGTGCCCGCGGAACACAGACAGGGCCACCGCTGCAGCCCCCGCCGTCGTCGTTGCTGCTGCTGCGGCCGCAGGCTTTCTGAGGAGTTGGGCCTGCATGTAGTCAAATAGGCAACACCGAATGCGGCGTCGCATGGCGACGGTCAGCGAAGTGCCGTTTCTCCCAGCGCGCCCACAGGCGCTATTCGCATGCGACGCGTGGTGCAGCAACGCCTCCCATCCCCCCTCCACTCCAAGACAGTTACGCGTGATATCGTCACATGCAGCCCGCAGAACGTTTTCCTTGCCGTCGTGCAAAGGCTGGACGGGTGCCTCCCGCAGACCTGCGCGGTGGCGCATCAGCCACGCCGCATGCCCCTCGAGTGCTCGAATAAACGCCATCAACTCCGACACCACTCGCGCGACGCCGGACCGGCAGCAGGACTCGCGGAGGGCGGACGCATCTGCTGCTTCACGAGAGGCGGCAAGCGTGCGGCGGCGGTGCACCTCCTCGAGGTGTTTGATGGCGTCACGGTGTTGTCGTTCCAGCGTGCCCATCTGTTTCTGGACCAGCTCCTGCAGGGCATGCATCTGCTGCCGCAGAGCCTTGCGGTCCTCCACAAGCGCATGGTAGCCGTTCTGCCTCGAATCCAGCTGCCTCTTCAGGCTGGCGCTACGAGACTCCAAAGCCCTCATCTTGGCCTGCCACGCATCCAGGTGGAGCCCGCGCAGCTGCTGCTGCTGCTGCTGCGGTAGTGGTGCAGGCGCCGCCGTGGACAACGACGTTTCCGTGGAGTGCATCGTGTTGACATTCATCGCAGCAACCTCATCGTGTAGGTGCGCCTGCGGCTGTCGCTTACGCTGTGGCTGTAACGGGTGGCGCTCTTGACGCGCACGGAGCAGCGTGTCGGCCGCCTCTGCGAGGTGCCGTCGTTGCTCACGCTCCTCCAGCCGCTGCACTTTAGCCCGCAGCTCCCGCCACGCACACTCGCGCCGCTTCAGTCGACCCTGCACCTCCCTCAGTTGCGCGACGGCGTGCTTCTCGCGTGCGACGCACTCGTCGCGGGTCTGCTGTGATGCAGCAAGCATCGCCCTATGCGAGAGGCGTTGCTCGTGCAGCTCCGCAGAGGCCGCTTCCAGCTGCTGCTGCACGCCGTCAAGGGAGCTTTGCAGCGTGCAGCACTCGTGCACGGCCCCCGCGTTCGCCTCCTCTAGCCGCTCCGCGCGTTGCCGCTGATGCTCCGCTGCCTGCTGCAGCTGCTGTAGCTTCGCCTGGTGAAACCCACGCATCTCCTCTGCAAGCTGCTGCTGCTCCAACAACTCCCGTCGGCTGGTGGCGGCGAGCTGTTGAAGCTTCGTGCGGAGTGCGTCACGTTCGGCGGAAACGCGCGTCTCGCGCTCCTCCGCCTCGCGACGCCGCTGCTCGCAGCGCAGAAATGCTTCCTCCAACTGCTGGGTGCTATGCACACACTCCTCCACCTCCGCCTGAAACGAGGCCTGCCGCTTATCCTCCTCGGCCAGCAAATACGACTGGGCGTCATGTGTCGAGCGCAGCTGCGACATTTCTTGCAACTTTGCATCCAACTCCGCATGAAGCTGCTGATGCGCCGCCGCCGCCGCCGCCCGTTCCTCCGCGTGCTGCTTCTGGAAACGCTGCAGCTGCTGCTCAGCCAACTCTGCCCGCAGCGTGAGCGCCGCATTTTGGTCCACCAGCTGCCGCATCTCAATTCGAAGCGTCCTTACCTCCTCTGAGGACCGCAACTGCGCGGCCTCTATGCGGTGGCACTTCGCCTCAGCCGCGGCAGCCTCGCGCCTCGACGCGTGCGCCTCCGCACGCACCCGCTGGTGCTCAGCCCCTTCGCGACGTAACGTGTCCTGCAACGTCCTCACAAGCCGGTCACGTTCCAGTTGACATTGCGTCATTGCCTCATTTGTCTTTCCAAGCTGCTCCTGTGTGCGACGCAGCGCCGCCTTTGTCGCGTGCATGTCCTCCACAAGCGTGGAGAACTCCTGCATTTCGCGTTGAATGACATCCAGATCCTGTGTGTGCCTTGTCTCACGCGCCCTCGCCTCGAGCTGTGCCTGCGTAAGCTGTGCCATGAGTTGATCAATGTGCTCCATGAAGAGTCTCGCATCCTGCTGCTGCTCCGCCCCCTCACTCTGCAGCTGTGCATCCACGCGTTGAGGTTGCATAGACAAATCTGACGGCCGCGCGTCCTGCTCAACGCCCCTTGCCATCTCGGCGGAAATGTGTGTGGTGCCGCCCAGCAAGCCGCGTAGCTGCTGCGTGAGAAGCCGCTTTTCCTCCCGAACTCCATCTAATTCCAGTCTTAGCTGCGTCGCCTCCTTCGCATGGTGCTGCAGCTCCCGAGCCTGTTCCTCCAGCAACATGTCCTTGTGCTGCAGGGCCGCCAGGACACGTTCCGCCATGTCATCCTCATCCTCCTCACTTCTCTCCAACCCGCCGTTGTGGTTATTGTCGGCGTTCAACCCACCGTCGCCCCACCGTCTGTCGGCGGCGCTCCTGCCGCCCTCGTCCTCCCCCTCCGCCTCTATTGTCGAAGGGCTGGTACTGCTGCGCCTGGCAGCAATTCGGCCGTCGGCAAGCGGAGGAAGTGGCAGTGACGACGTTGGCAGCCGGTGCTGCTCTTCCACTTCCCCTGCCTGTCGCCATTTGCCGCAGCTGCCCTGGTTTCCCAACGACTCGTTGAGTGCCGCCTCCACGACAAGGATCGAGGGGTCGGCAGAAGTGTCGCCGCCACCGCTGCCGCTCATGTGTGAGCAGCCGCCTCCTCTCTAAATCAACGCCTGGCGGCCTCTCCCGCTGCTGACTGTAGAAGAGAGAGGAGGAAGAGAGAGTGGCCAAGATGGCACGAGGGGAAGGGGGCGAAGCAAAAAAAAAAAAAAACAATGACCCATCAAACACCCTCTCAAGCCATTTGTTTTTGGTTCTGCGGCTTCTACCTGCCTGCCGCGACGACGCGCCGCCAGGTGCAGGTCGTCCCCTCCGCTCGGCTACATCACCCGCCTCATTGGGCCGCCCTGCGATAAGTACCCCCTCCCTCTTTCCTCCTCACTCACGCACTCCGCTGGTGCGGTGCGGCCTTATTGAGGAGTCTAAACACATGCCGGTAGCACGCCAGTATCCCGTTCTTTGCTGCAGTGCGGTGAGACGATGCCAAATGCGTCCGCATGTACGCCAAGAGCTGCGCCCGCGACGGCAGAAGCGACAGGATGACCGTCTCGTCATCGAAGCCCAACCGTAGCAGCGATGCAACGTCGTCGTCGCCTCTCCTTCTTCTTGTACAGAATCCGCCACGCCACAGACGGGTGCGGGTAGTGAGGTAACGCATGACATCGTCGGAGGGACGGTACGTAAAGTGACTGCACATGGACGAGCCACATCGGCACAGCATGAAAAACTTCTGCAGCGGGTTCTCGCCGGAAAACAGCGGAACGACGCGGTGGGCGTAACTCAACGTCAACTCACTCCTGGCCGGCACGTCGCGGGTAGTGAAAAAACTATTGGGATCCTCAAAGTGCGGGAAGCGCCGAATACGGTCAAGCAGCTCGGCGATGCTGGAGACCGCCGCCGCGGACTAGATAGAACCCATGGGAGAGGCTGCTGCAGACGTTCGGATCGCAGCTGTGATTCATGAGATGATGCGGCAGCGGCTGTGTGACGAGCTCCAACAACATGTCGGAAGGGTGTGGTGTAGTGCCATGTGTCAGGAAGCCGCGCATGCGTGTCCGCCAGAAGAGGCACAAAGTTTGCGGCGTCCATGTAGCTACGTTGTGGTTCTGTAATGATGCGGGTGCCACGTGGGAGATCGCGCGTGGTTATGAGTCCACGATTATGAATGGGACTGGGGTCCACGTAAAGGCAAACGAGCGCCTTGCCGTGCAAGATGCCGCGAAACCGTGGGACCTCCACACTGCCAAAAGCAGAACTGCTATTGCCTCCTACTCCCGCTGTAGCTGCAGCTGCCGCCTGCTCATACGCCCGCATCTCAATTAGGTGCTGCACAGACGCGGAAAGCGTAGAAGCAGGCACCACGGGTTGCGCCTCCGTCCCTATCGAGGAGAGGAGAGACGAGAGCGGAGGTGCGATGCTTTGTCGTGTGTAGAAGGATACCCGCCCTATGCCGTACCCCACGTATGCCATTGCCGTGAGTCCGTATTGGACTAACTGACCCACGACGGGTGTCGCCAGCGCGTTGAGCACAACCGCGGACCTTCGCAACTCCATGCGATCGCCCTGCGTGAGCGATGCCCCTGTGGCATGCATGGGTGGCACAGTTGAAGCGCAGGCGGCAGCGATGATGGAGGGACGCCTCTCTGGCGCCTCGCCCCCTGCGGGAGAGCACGTCTAAGAACAACACCTCCTCGCGATCCACGTTGTTTGTCCGCTTGGTGCGGCGGAATGGGCGCTGCTGCACGGGTGGCATGGAGGCGTTCCAACGACACTTCCGGCAAAGTGTCGTGCAAGACGTCAGTTTCGCCGCCGCTGCCGCCGCCGTTGTTGTTGTTATCACGCGTCCCACACGCAGCGTCATGGACGTTGACTGCGACACCGACGCCAAGCACTCCCCACAAAGAGGCACTAGCGGTGTCTCCTCTCACGCACGCCGCTTACGTGAAGCTACTGCCGCGATAACTGGGGCGGCACGCAACCCATTTGAGGCACAACAAGAAAAAAACAGAAGGTGAATGAAAAAAGAGACAGCGTGGGAACAGGCAAAAACTATTGGAGAGAGGCCAGGGAGGGAGGGGGGAGTGGGGAGGCGCCAGCACGCGCATATGTCTCCCACGCAAGTCCATTACCTTCACGTTATCCTTCACCCTCGTTGTGTATATGCCCGTATATATATATATATATATATATATATATATATAAC